TCCAGACTCCACCCAGTCTGTCACACAGGCAAGTTGTCCTAATGAAGACACAGGCTGTACACAGTACTGTGTCTTTCCGTCTCCTTCTGCATCACATAGCAGACAGGTCGGTCAGGGAGAGAACAAGGGATATAGATGGTCAGATCACATGTTATGTTTATAGAGAAACCAAGGACAGGATTAGGCTGTGCCTTTATGTGTATTTTGCAATGATAAATAGCTTAGTTCTAAATGCTACCTCTAACTGGTGACTCTAGAATTATTCCCAGCCTCATCACAGAGGAAAAAGAATCCAGATTCTGCCTCATTTTGGCCTCTGCAGGTTACCATAAGTTAATTCAGAGCCCCCAAGTCCCTTCCTGACCCAGGTTGATTTGTCCTAATTTGCAACATGCAGTAACATTGGCAGCGACATCTGCATGCCCGTGTCTCATACCATCCTGGCCCTTGAGCCAGAAAAGCATTTGTGATGCAGAACCCAGCACTGTTCATTGTTAGTACCTGACCTGGAGGGCCCAGTGAGGACCAGATAGAGTCCATCACTGCTCACAGACATCGCTGGCGGTTTATGGATCACGTGCGCCGCACAGTTGTCTAAGGTGAAAGCTGCAAAACTATGCCCAGATTCTTCCAGAAAAAGTCACAGAATGCTCATGTTGACCGAGTCATACTCTTTACTAAAATAGTAGGATTTTAGCTTCATAAGAGAGAAAAGTGTAAAGGACAGGAAGAATGGAGAGGGAGTCACCCCAGCTTGCTCTTTATAAGCTTCTTTAGCCTGCCTTCCTTCCTTCCTTCCTTCCTTCCTTCCTTCCTTCCTTCCTTCCTTCCTTCCTTCCTTCTTCCCTTCCTTCACTACTTTCTATCATCTATCTATCTATCTATCTATCTATCTATCTATCTATCTATCTATCTTATTCCCTTATCTAAATGTATCTCTATGCCATAAATATCTACATCTCCTATATTTTCTGTCTATATCTGTAGCTATTATCCATCTGTAAATCAAAACTGTAGACTAATTTGTAATGAGATGATAAAAACCCTGCAAATTATACAACATAGAATTTTAATTGTTATCATTAAATATTAAGTATGCTTTTTAAATGGTGTTTAAAATCTTCACAATATTTAAGAAGGAAATACACAAAGTATAAAACATTTCATGTGTAGAGGTGGGAAAGAGTGAGGCAGGGATCACATGGAAGACACAGAAACAGATAGATAAGTAGCAATAGCAATAACTTCTGGGTAGTAGCCTTAAAAGTATAAATTTTGTTTGTTTTCAGACAATTTGCATTTTGGAGTTTTTATAAAAGACTGGTAAAAGTTAAGAATTTTACAAAAAAAATCAAACAACGATGATCCAGAGACTGAATAAGCCTATTCTAACATGACCCATTGGGTCCCAAGGTCTGCCTTCCTCTCCCGTGGCTTCCTCCACCAGTCTCTGCCATGCACATGCACATGGAGATGTCATATCATCTCTTTTCTTCCATCCTTACTTCCTTATTTCTTTCTTATCTTCCCTCCCTTATTTCCCCTTTTCCTTCTTCCCATGCATGTGTGTATTTCATATGCATGCATGTGTCTATTTGTTTGCAAGAAGGTTGAGAACATGGGATGACCATATTTAACATCCCTCAGCAGTTAGACTAAACCTTGCTTTTGAGGACTGGTCTCTCACTGTTTTACCGGGAACTCACTGAATAGCCAATTGTCTGGCCAGTGAGCATCAGCGATACCCCTGTCCTGCTTCCACACTACTGGAATGAAGTCTGCTCCAACTACCTGCCTAGGTTTTTATGTGAGTGCTTGGCTTGGGTTCAGGTCCTCATGCTTGCACAGTTGGTACCTTACCCTTGCTCTTCAGAAAGGTGGTAATATGACATTTCAATGTGCATGGCTGAGCCTAGTGGAGGAAGCCACGGAAGAGGAAGACAGACCTTGGGACCCAGTGGGTCATGTTAGAAAAGTCTTATTCAGTCTCTGGATCATCGTTGTTTAATTTTTTTGTAAAATTATCAACTTTTACCTGTCTTTTATAAAAACTCCAAAATGCAAATTGTCTGAAAACAAACAAAATTTATACTTTTAAGGCTACTACCCAGAAGTTATTGCTATTGCTACTTATCTATCTGTTTCTGTGTCTTCCATGAGATCCCTGCCTCACTCTTTCCCACCTCTACACATGAAATGTTTTATACTTTGTGTATTTCCTTCTTAAATATTGTGAAGATTTTAAACACCATTTAAAAAGCATACTTAATATTTAATGATAACAATTAAAATTCTATGTTGTATAATTTGCAGGGTTTTTATCATCTTATTACAAATTAGTCTACAGCTTGATTTACAGATGGATAATAGCTACAGATATAGACAGAAAATATAGGAGATGTAGATATTTATGGCATAGAGATACATTTAGATAAGGAAACAAGATAGGTAGATAGATAGATAGATAGATAGATAGATAGATAGATACTAAATAGACACAGATGACAGATGGTATATAGATAGTAGACAAATAGATAACAAACAGAAGAATATGGTTATCAGATAAAATGAAAAGGTGGAAATAGGTGATAGATACATAGATAATAGATTACAGACAGATAGATAGCCAGATAGGGCTTGTAGGCAATTAGAAGATAGATAGATGGATGATAGATAAGAAAAATGACATATGGTAGGTAGATGTTTTGGATTCTGGCATTCCTTTCTAAATAAAAAAGCAGTAGCTCTGAGTGGGGATTGTAAGAACCAACCATGTAGTCATGACAAGCTGTCTTAAGGGTAAGTATGTGTCCTCACGGTGATAGGGTAGCTACAGAAGGCTCGGCCATACTTCTCTAATTTATCAATATCCAGAGACATCTCCCTTATCAGCCTTTATAAGATGATCTTTCATCTTTATTTATGTGTATGTGTGTCAATACATACCATATATGTGTATCCTGGGGCTGGAGATGTAAGTCTTTATGAAGCACCTGGTGTGGACTCTAGAGATCTGACTGCATCTACAGAAACACTGTGTGCTTCTAAGAACTGAGCCGTATCTCCAGCTCCTACCTCCATCTTCTAAAGTACAAAATCCCTTTTTTCAGAACCTCCCCTCCTCGTATTTCAATGGGCAAAACTGGTCACATATAGTTTCCCAAGTGACTCAATGATGAAATAGATAGGGTTTTTATCACTGACTTTGAATTCATCTGAAACAGCACGTTCTAAGCCTGGGAGAAAGATCACTGCTCAGAGAAAACAGATGCATAAGGCTGAGGAATGGTGTGCACTACTGGACAAAATTGGAGAGCCCCCTAGCAAAGTGGGAAACAAAGGTCCAGGATCCCCAGCCTAGGGAATGGTGCCACCCACAATGGGCTAAAACTTCTATGACAACTAATAATCGGGACCATATCCCACAGATACACTCACACCAAAAATCTCGGCAACCCCTCACCAAGACATTCTTCCCAGGGGATTCTAGATTGTGTCAAATTAACAATTAAAATTATCCATCACAAACTCCAAAACCAGTACCAAATGAACCCTCCCTCTTATTTTATCATTTTCTTTTCCCATGACATTACCCTTATTCTTTTAAAAAGATTTTTAAAAAAAAATCACATATAAATGTGTGTGTGGAGGTGCACATGAGTGCAGGACCCTGCAGAGGTCAGAAGGTGGCATTGGGTCCCTTGGGGCTGGACTACAAGTTGTGAACCACCAATATGGATTCTGAGAACTAAATTCAGGTCTTCTGTAAGAGGAATATTTACTCTTAACTGCTGATCCATTTCTCCGGTCCTGTTCTTCCCTTTTTTCATTTATCAGTCAAATACTTTTATTTAGCCAACTTTTATTTCTGGTCACCCACAAAACTGAAACGTTCGCTGAAAATGAATATTACGGAGGTAATGACCATCCTGTTGTCTCTCTGTGTAGGAACATTCCTACTTCATGGAGATTTGTGGAAGGTGGAAGTGTGTAAACAATCAACATGAATAAAGCACTCATGGCGCTAGGTCAAGTCACAAACAGTGTGACCCTGAGGTCTGCCACACACTTCATCAAACCACTGTCCCCTGATCATTTTCTTACCATCACAGAGACTGTCCCACCCACAGGCCAGCATGTGCTCGTCTTGAAGCATTCCTCCTTCCTTCTTCTGAAGAAGCTTTCTTTAGCTATCTCCATGACTGGCTTCACATCTCACAGGTCTCTGGTCATACACAGTCTTATTAAAAGGATTTTACTAGGTTTACCCCTTACCTTCTAACCCTATGTGGCACTGTACCCACATAGCAAGCTATGCTTTGTTTATTGCCTTTCTGTTAGGTAGATAAATTCCAGGAGACAAATGTTTATATCTCGCCAGTTTCTGACTCCTCCAAGCAGACTCAGGGCTGGATACTTAAGTATTCCACAGTAGCCACAGAATAAGCCAATGTGTGAATGGTATGGTTTGGATATGGGATGGCTTCCAACGGGCACATATGTTTGTCACAAGGGTCCAAGCTTCTGGTGCCACTTTGGAAGGTTCTGGATCATTTAGAAAGTGAGGCCTTTGAGTTGAAGAGATGGCTCAATGGTTAAAAGCATTAATTGTTCTTAAAGACCAGGGTTCAATTCCCAGCACCTAGATGGTAATCATTCATGAAGCTCCAAGGGATGCAATGTCCTCTTCTGACATCTGTGAGCACCAGGCACGCACATGGCATACAAACACACATGAAGGAAAGAACCCATACATAGTAAATAAACAATAAATAAAGCTAAAAGGATAGCACAGAAGTGGTGGGGCCTATCTGGGGGAAATGCATCCCCAGTGGTGGCCCTGACTTTGGCACAGCCTGGTCCTATACTCTTTTCTCTCTCTCTTCCTGTGTGTGGATGGATTGTGACCAGCCAGCATGTGTTGTTGTGTCTTCGTTGCCATGATGGACTCTCTGAAATGGTAAGCCAAAATAAATCCTTCCTTGCTTCTTTGTGTCTAGGTATTCTATCGTAGCAACAGAAAAGAAACTTTCAAAAGCGGGTATCTTAGCAACAGAAAAATGAAGACCGCCATCATCTTCTTGCTGAATGTGGATAACAGCAAAGTCAAGTAGGGCCTGCTGATCTGCACAGGTTGGCCTGGGTACTCATCACTCACCCCCATAGCAAGACCAAGTAAGTCAGTTTCTGTGTATCTTGTCCTTCCCTCTAGGCAAAGCTCCACTGTCCAGGATGAGCTGGGGTGGGGGGTGAAGGGGGACGCTGAACAGTGTCTGACTTTCTGCTAAAAAGTCCAAGGCAAGTCCCTGACTTAAGTGGTGAGTGAGTGAGACATATCACACAACTTGTAATGCTTTCCTTAATAAAATATGTTTCAGTTGTGATTAAAAGTAATATTGCAAGTCAGAAACAGTTAACGAAAGTGTATCACAAAACCATAAGGAAATAATGATCATTTTACAGTAACTTAAGTCTATTTAGTATGCCTTAGAATTTCAATTTGATGTTATAATTAAACAAGATATACTATACATACTGACACACACATATTATCCATACTTTACAAACGCAAATACACACATCAAATACCACACACAAATACACAAACACAGATACACAGACACACACACACACACACACATACACCACACACCGCAGAGATATCCAGACAAAATGGTGAATGGATACATGGATGTAAACTCTAACAGAAAATTATGAAGCAATTTCTATGTAAGACAGGGAAGCAGAGTCACACAGGTGTAGGCAGGTGTAGGAGCACTAATCTGAGATACCAAAGAGATGCAGGCTGGACGGTGGTGGCGCACACCTTTAATCCCAGCCCTCAAAAGGCAGAGGCAGGCAGATCTGTGAGTTTGAGGCCAGCCTGGTCTACAGATTGAGTTCCAGGACAGTCAGGGCTACAGTCAGGACTACACAGAGAAACCCTATTTTGGAAAATCAGAGAGACAGAGACAGACAGAGAATGTAGAGGAATCTTCGAACAATCACTGTGTGAGGATGGGACAATGGGTGCATTTCTGAGCCACTGATATTGCCTGGGAGATAAAGTAACACCAGAGACTATGAAGAATGACTTTGTCTAGAATATGTTAGCAAAAGATTGACCAACATTTGAGAGCAAGGTGGATAGGAGAAGGGACCAGGCCTGAGAAGAGCTCAGTTCCGGCCCATGACTCCTGGGATCCCCACCAAACTACAGTGGCAGCGCATTTCCACTATCAATGTGGCTGGATTAAGGAATGCCTGGCACATTGATGAGGACACATTTGAGTGTTTCTCTGCAAGCATTTTCAGAGAAGGCTAATGATGAAGCTAAGATCTACCCTGAATGCAGGTGGTCCAGTTGCCCCACATCCCAGACTGTGTAAGAAAAAGAAGAAAGGAGAAAGCCAGCTGAATCTGCCATCCGACTTACTCAGCTTCCTGATCTTAGATGTGAGCAGGCAGCCCCATCTTCCTGCTGCACAGCTGAGTGCCAAGGCAGCTGCCATGTCATTCCCCACACTGATGGACTGCGCCACCAAATCATGATCCTAGATAAGCCTTCTTTCTCTTGAGCTGCTTCTTTCTGGCCAGATGTTCTCACAGCCCTGGGCAAAGGAACTAATTCACTCAGAGGATAAAAACTCTTTGGTGCGGCTCGGGAGTCTAAGAAGTTCTGAATGGCAAAATACAGCCTGTAAACTATTCTAATAAATACCCCTGCTCTCCTTTTCTCCTCCCTCTCTCACTTTCTTTCTCTCCCTTTCTCTTTCATTTATTTATTTATGTGTATATATATACATATACATATATACAGTTAGTTACAGATTCAGTTATAGTTATATATAAATAAATGTATTCCACAAATTATCTTCCTAGAGAACCCTAATACAGCATGCCTATTCCCAGCACCTGCTGACATCAGAACTCAGCATCTTCAACCTTGTACTCAGCCTAGAAAACAAAGGTTCTCCAGGGATCTTTCAGACCTTCAGTGGCAGCTGAGGACTGCCAAGGCACCCAGCTCCCCAGACTAAGCAGCTACTGGACCCTCATTCTCTCCAGCATGCAGTAAGTTGTTCGTCCACTACTCAGCCTGTACCATATAAACCAACACAATCACACTTTGTAACGTACATTTCCTATAATTGGTTCTGTTACTCTAGAAAACCCTAATACATCAACCAAACATAAAAACAAACACATGTAAAACAGTAGGCAGGTAAAGCCTTATGAAAAGGGTACTCAAAACCTGGAGTTATTTTTCTTCTTGATTATACATTACGTGAAAAGATGTTTACTGTTTCTATCCAAAATCCAGCATGACCCACTACTCCTCCACTCTGGTCTGATCCCCAGTCCCATGCAGCCAGACTTCTGCATTCCTCTCCGAACAGGTCTTCGGACAGTGACGTCTACCTAGCCCTCCCTCTCCCAAAATTCGTTCTCTATGCAGGTATGGAAAGCGCATCTGAGACTTAGTCCTGTCCCACTTGTCTGCAGCCCTCCAGCGATGAATCTCACACGTGGATGGACCCCAAGCTGCTTTGGGGAGCTTCTCTCCTGCTTTCCCTGCCTCATCTCCCAATGCCACCCACCACGGCCTCTGGCTCACCACGCTAGCTGCCTCAGCCGCTCCTTCCCGCAGCCAAACACGCTCTTCACTTTGCAGAGCCAGCTGTTCCCCCAGTATCCACACTGTTCTACGACATAGCATCAGAGTCAAGATTTCACGTCAAATGTCTGCAGGCATCTAGCCATGCCTCAGCATCTGTGTTCTCTCTGTTGTCTCCGATAGCCTCTGGTTCCCCTTCCCACAGCCACCATGCACAGTTGCCAGGTGTGAGAGTCTCAAACAGAGGAACAAACCTGTTACTGTGTGTGCCATGACGCTCTTGCCTTTTATTGCTCTGGGATTACCATCCCAAGCTCTCCTCTGTCTTTCCTTACTGTTGTTGCTATCTATTTCTCTTAGCAGACCTCCAGCTTTGGGGGCGGGCAGGAAAGTCCGTTGTTTCTGCTACCACTTTAACTCCTTAACAATGCTGAGTGGGGCTGGGAAGACGGCTTAGTGGATGCTTGCAGCATCAGTGTGTGAACCAGAGCTCACATCCCCTGTGCACTACGGGAGCAGAGACAGGATCCCCAGGGTAAGCTGGCTAGTTAGATGAGCTACAGAGACAAGTTCTTGGTTTGGTGGGAGATCCTGCCTCTGTAAATGAAATAGATGTCAATCAAAGACACCAGACTTCAACCTGTGGCCTTGACACACATGCCCATACACATGCACCCACATACCTGAAAACAGGAATGCATACATGCACAACACACACATACGGCAAAACCAAAAATATTGCCTAACACACAGTCTGTACTAACAAGTGAAAAATTCATTAAAAAATGTAGAAATAGAGATTATTTTTAATTATAAATTATCTATATGCTCTAATTTTTGTAAAAAACCATAAATATATTTAAATAAGGAGAAAAACAGCAGTGTTCTTTTGATTGCTCTTAATTGTTAGCCTTGAAAAATAAGCTAAATTTCTTGTATATTTTGACCACAGAAGCATGAAAGATGAAAGCAGTCTGCTTAAACCATGGCTGGGTCAAACGGCAGTAAAGCAGCTCTAAACCCGCTGTGTTTCCCTGGGTCATTCCCACTCCCACGGATTTTGGAGACGTTTCTGATCAATCAGGCTGGTGCGAGGGGAGGTGACCCAGTTTCACAGCATCTGAAGCTATTCCATTTTTCCGTGATACAATTCCATCGCGGGCCAAGTAGAATGGTCCAGCAGAGAGGTGCTCACACATTCTCCTAAAAGGCTTTCTTTGGAGATGCTGTTTCTCTGACAGGGGAAAAACAATTGAAGCCTATGTCTAAGGGGAAGGCTGCCTGATGGAAACTTCTCCCCGGTTACCACCTTCTACCCCAGCTCGAGGCAGGCATTCTAACAAATTGCCCTTCCAGGTCTGAAAACCACTGCCTAGAGCTGCGAAGGAATTGGAATTGATCTGATTGTATGCACAGGTGGCTTAATCACGTGAAATCTGCAACATTGTAAAACTGGTAATTGATAAAATCATCAATTGTTCAGAAAGCCAGACCAACATTCAGAAAAACGATGAATGGGATTCGCTTTCTTCATGAGTCTTACTTTTATTCCCAACACAGCAATATCTTCTTTTATAAGCAACTCAAAACCATGGAAAAACTCATGAGCTACAGAGAAAAAAAGTGAGTCTGGTCAGGAGAGATTTGGGACCTCTCTTTAATTCTTAATAATAGTCCCAAAAATGATTTCTCTCTTGCTGTTATTATGTCTTGGACAAGTCAAGCAAATCTACATGCAGGGGCAAGCATTCTTGTGCTGGCCTCTTAGGATAGCTTTGTATAATTCAGATCATTTATAGTAACTAGCAGGCTAGGGCAATAAGCATTTTTTAACAAAGAATAAATAAAGAAATATCTCAGATTTCAATTAAGTAACGGAACTAAAGCATAGAAAGTATGACTATTTCATTTCACTTGGCTATTGCTCCGAGAGTGTTCATTAAGATTGTTGCATCTGTTAATATTTGTAATTTTTGCAGCAATATAATTCATATTATGGTATTCAGAGTAATATTAGAGAATTAGGAAAGACCTAATCTCTGAGAGAGTGAGTCATTGCACCAACACAAGAGTTTGATCTTATTGAACGAATGGTGTCACCTTTGGCTTGGAAAACAATCATTATTTTAAAGCTATATGTATGCATGTCTAAGTGGTGGTGTTTGTGTGCTACAACTATGTGTATGCATGTCTAAGTCGGGTGTCTGTGTGATCTGCAGCTGGGCATGGCAGTATGCTGCAATCCCAGCACGACAAAGACTCAGACAAGAGGCTGGCAGGTCCAAGTTCTGTCTGGGACATATAGTGAGAGCATATCTTTTTCAAAGTTGCTTATATAAGGCTAACTAGATGACTCAGCAGTTAAGAACACTTGATGCTCTTTCAAAGGACCTCGGTTCAGTTCCCAGCACCCACACAGTTTTTCAAAACCATCTGTAACGCCATTTCTAGGGGATAGGACTCCCTGTCCTGGCCTTTGGGCCACATATGGTACACGTACATACATGCAGGCAAACATTATTTTAAATACATTATTTTGAAGTAAGAGTCATCTTAA